TAAGTATTGTTCAGTGACACTATGTCACTGCTTCATCTAGCAAATCCTGTGAACTCTAAATTATCAACATAACTTTTCTTAATGAAAATACTACAACTGCTGCTATTAATTATTGATCCCAGCTGTGCTTACAAAGATAAAGAGTGGAGATTTAGCTAATAAGTTTGTGAGGGAATTTTTTTTTAATAACCTTTTTTCTTTGCCAAACCTCACTGACCACGCTGAAGGCATGACATTCCTCTTCCAGCAGCCCCCTTGGCTTATTTGCTCCTTAGTTCGGCAGTAAGTGAAAGGTGCTATTAGAGCCGACTTGATCTTTGCCAGGACACCACTGCAGCAAAATACCTGAGACATTACTAAACAATTTGATCTGCCATTTCCCTCCTTTCCCTGCCCAGAGATGAGAAGAGCCTGACTGTGCAGGCAGGGTTATCAAGTAGGCACGTTTTGAGGAAGTCTCCTTTCCCCTGCAGTTTTCAATCATCTGAGCATCGCCACCTCAAGAGTCTCATAACATTAATTAGGGGTATTGCCACATTTAAGATTATTTACCTACTGTCTTTTAAGATTTCTGTGAGGTGAAAAAGAGTCAGTACCTTATGCTTTGCGTAGTATAAGGAGCAAGTGCATTGTTAGACTTCCTTCATAAATGCCTTGTTATATCCTATGGGGAGAAAACTGCTACTGCTGTAATCCCTTCCTTCAGATCAGGAGATGCCGGCAGTGCCTGCAAACTGGCCAGCACCCTTGCACGTGGGTCAGGGCAGCCAGAATTTTGGCAGCAGCAGAAAAGTTTGCAGAGTGAAAGGAGTGTGTGAAGGACACAGACCATGTCCCTCTGAAAATTTTGTAATTGTGCATTGAAGTGAAATGGGATGGCAATGATGGAGTCAGACTTTCTTGGCAAGCCAGTATTAGAAACATCTGGGTTTCAATATTCACTGTCCCCGGAGCTATCCATTCAAATCAATGCCACGCTAGCCACCTTCACCAAAGCTGAGGTTTACTCGTGTTTACTTTGTATTCAGCCAGGGTCTTAAAAACTCAAACTTCCTTGGATAGGTGTATTTGAGAAGTTAAATACTCAAAAACTAGGAAAAGACGAAGTTCAGGTTTAAAGTGCTTTCTTAGCAAGCTTACTGTGCCAGGGGCATCACCAGCCACTCCTGAATTGTACAATCGTTCTATTATGATGTTATACCTTTGTTTCTTAATGTTGTTTCTTAAGCAGTAGATCTAACTAACCTTACAGCTTTGTAGTCTCTGTATTTCTCTTCCTGCCTGGCTGAACTGCAAAGGTCTCCAGGCTTTTCCTTTATTATTCGAGCAATGCCTTCAGTCCTTCCTCTGCTCCCACAGAACCTGAAGTTTTTCTTCTTACAGACTTCATTTCCTTCCACACACATTATTTTTTTCCAAAATATTTCCATTTTCAACAACACACTATCTAATCTGACTCCCTTCTCCCCTCTGCCTTCCTACCCCCATTCATAAGACACACCCCTTCTTCTCAGCATCCCCATCACCTGCTGAAAACGTCGAGTCCAAGTCTACAAGCAAGGTACCTGAGCCATGGTGTGTTTGCTCAGGACAGACATCAGCTGGGAGGACAGACAAGATGACTCACAACACAGCCAGGTCCTCAGCAGAGAGCTTATTTCTTTGTGTCTGAGCTCAGCTCCATTCTCAAATTGGTGGAAAATGCCCAAATGTTTAGGTGTTAGTGGAGAGGCTGTGTAAGGGTGAGAAGATGGGAATTGCATAATGTAAGCATATATGCTACACTTTTTGTACAAAAACAAGACAACTTCCAAATAGACTGCTTATATGACTGATTTCCTGACTTTTTCTTGGAGAAGGAAACAAAATTTCTGTTTTCAAAGGTCCAGGTGTATTTCCAGTGTGTTGAGTGGTGGACTAACTTGTCAGGAGATTATGGCCAACAAGCATACCAGGACCAGTGTGACCACCCCCTGCAGGGTGCACCCTCTCCAAGTGTTCCATCTAGGAAGAGTGATGAAAGGGAATGGGAACGATCAGCTTCCACAGATTTGTTTCTTGGTTTCTGGTTCTGGTATGTGCATGTCATTGTTTTTTGCCAGTAGGCAGGGCAAGCAGAGTACATGTCCTTTGTATTAACCAATCTACAGGCCGTATCATTGCATTCCTTTTTCCTCAAGAACGTGTGTTAAAAATACCTGACTGTTTGGTACCAGCTTTTACTGTGAAATAATCTCCTGTCCTCATTTTATTTGAGCACTTACAAATTTAGCTTAAAGATCCTCCCTTACATCCCGTGAGGTGGGGGTGGCAGATCAGAGTCCTTCCTGGCAAGAAAGCTCTCCTACTGAGCCTAAATCCCTGTATTTTTATTATGAAACCTCCCTAACACACTAGCCAGTTTCACTAATGCTTTCCACTTTGGTAACACCTTCCATCCAGCAATCTTGAGAGGAGATAGAAACTCACACTAATTTTTAACCTTGCAACATCTGATTCTGCAAGGTGCATGCAGAAACCAAGGAAAAGGAGAAAAATCTGAGATTTGGCAAAGATCGTTCTCAGAGTCTGTAGCAGAATGAAAAATCTTCCTAATGATCTACAGCTCTAGTTTCTGTGTCTCACCCACAAGGCCTTCATCTCACATGTTACTGTTCATAAGTCTTAATGCTAACACATGTATGACAGTTAAAGTGCTCTCTTCTTTAGCTAATAGACTCTAAAGCTAAATACAATAAAAATGTGGTAAACATTTGACAAAAAGTACAGAAAAAATCGTTCTTCTTTTGTAGGAAGACAGCTTAAATATTGCAGAGAAAATAGTCTCTCTGTCTTCTCTCTTTTTAAAAAGTAATCTTCATATGAACAGCATACCCTATTCACCATATTGTATTCATTTCTGTTACGTACTGAAATTTCAGAATAGTCATTCTGGAAACATTTTTGTTACCATTTCAGCTGAAGGAATAGGCTATAATTTACAAACTTTGAGGAATTATTATCCAGCTGTGTTTTAGTTCATTTTCAGAAAAGAAGGGATTATGTTTATATATAGAAGTCTTTATATAATTAATGTTAATTTGCACATGTTAATGAAGATGATTATTAGCAAAGCATTGTAGTTTTGTTCCTGCTGATTTTGACAGATGAGTTGAATAACATTCTGCTGTAATCAATGCAACATAGCTCATCCCTATTTTTTCTAAGCATTAACAACTATTTTACTACAGGGTTTTTAAATGAAGCCAAGGCACGATGACAGACTCTTAAGTGGGTTTTATCTGCCAAATAGCTTAATGTAATTTATTTTATGTATTGCTAGTACTCTGTAAAATAACATTAAACATGACTTGCTACTAATGAGTCACTGTGAAAAATGATAGACGTCTTTTTGGCCGGAAACCAGTTCACAGCATAATATTCAGTAAATTGGACCCATTCTTCACGGGTTCACAACTTCTAATATCTCGCTATTGTCTGCATGAAGATAATAATACTAAGGGTAGAGCCCAGACACTATCATGCTTCAGGAATCAGCTGAAGTAGTTAGTACTAATGGGAAATAGCTTGGAGGAGTTTTATATAGCTGTTGTACCTGTCCGCACCCTAAAGGGTTGCTCCTCCTGGGAGAAGACCACATGCACATAAATAGCTAGTAGGAAAAAATGGGCTGGCACTGTCCATCTCAGACACCTCCCACAAGTTATGAGTTTTCTACTCTGCATACACTAGTACTTGTAGATACAAGTGACTCACTGACACCAAGCCACAAATTTGTAATGTCCATGCAGACAGCGGTCTTCAGATCAGGTGATCAGCTCTCTTAGGAGATTCTCCCTGTTCTGATAAATCCTTCCACTACTGCAAGCTTTTTTTTCCTTTTTTTGCATGTCCTTAACCACTAAGTGATTCTTGGTAAATTATTTGTTTACAGAATCACAGAATCATCTAGGTTGGAAAAGACCTTGAAGATCATCCAGTCCAACCATTAACCTAACACTGACAGTTCCCAACTACACCATATCCCTCAGTACTACTATGTCAAATAGCACTTTACTGTGGACAGCTTTCGGAAATCTTCTGTGCCTTTGAGTTTCGAGCCTCTAGCAGTCTGTCCTTGGAGAGGCTGTATAAATTCCTAGTGCTAAGATATCTAGGATAGTCACCACTTCCAAGCATGAAGCTAATACATATCATATGTAAAATATAAATATGCAATACTGCGCGCTCATACAGGCCATCAAACTCACCACAGGAGACAGAGGTGCTTGCTCAGAGTCATTCATATGTTTCCAGATGGAACAAGTCAAGTTCACCTCAGCAATGCTGCAGGTACTGAGTGAATTGTATGGAACTGGATTTACTGAATAACATCTCATTCCTTTACTGACTTTTTCCACTTATGGAGCCAGCACATGTAAGTGAGTATGTTGGGGTTCATCCCCTTCTGTGCTGCAACAGAAATATTTGTTAAGTTCCAGTTAGTCAAAAATGTGCAATTGTCTTGGTGACAGTAAGGACTGAAGCTATGGGTATCATTCGGGCACTGATTTGGAAAGTGTACAGCTGACACAAGCACAAAAGCCTCTTGTAGACATCATTTACAGGCTGTCTACTTTTATTGGTGAGGAATAAGGGATCTAGGTCCAATTTCAGAGAAGCAGAAAAGCTTAAAAAAAAAAAAAAAATTAACTAGATAAGTGTACTCTGAAAACCATTAGAGATCAGCATACATAGGACCATGGCATTCATTACCTTCAGGTAGAACCACACTGAAAAGAAATCTTTAATCAGGTGTAATGACTTTACAGAACTTGGCAAAGGTTTCTTCTGCTGTTTGTATTCTGTATAGATGACATACAATGGTACAAGCCTATGTTACTTTGTTAAAATATATTTCAGTTAGCATGAACTAACTACAAGGCAACAAACAAAATGCTTGAATCACCATGCTTTTAAAAAACACTTGCTGGAAGATGATTCTCTGCTTTCATTCACAGGAGGAAACCGAGTGTCCTTCATCTCTCTCTGTTATCAAAGAGAGGACAGCAGGTGAAACTCTAGAGGATGATTTCTTCTCACCTGATGATCTGTCTTCTGATGAAGAATATTATATCGAAGAAAGCAAAGCAACTCAGTTCAAAAAATCAGGCATGAGGCGCATAGATGATATCAAAAAGGCATTTACAAGGGAAAATATCCAAAAGACAAGACAAAATTTTGGCAAAAAGGTGAACAGGCTTCGAACTAGAATAGTGACCCCTGAGAGGAGAGAGAGGATCAGGCAGTCAGGAGAAAGACTGAAGCAGTCTGGGATAAGGATCAAGAAGACCATTTCACAAGCTGCCCCAACGAAGGAGACTTTCAAGATCCATAAAAAAAATAAAGAACGAACAGGAGCTGAAGGTCAGGAAGGGATCCAGGAAGCCGGCATGCACATCACCTCTGAGCTCGCAGCAGCAGAGCCCTTCACTGAAGAAATCTCTTACACAGAAGTGATCACTAAGGTAAAGAAAGACAAGAATAGCGCAACAAAAGGTGCTTCCCAGGCAACTGAAAAAGCAGTTACAATCCCAGAAGCCATTCTTAAGCAGGAAGGAAAAGAAGGAGGAGGTGACGATGTCCCTTTGCTAGACTTAAAGCAATCGGTATAAGGAATCAATTAGCAAACACACCATACTATCCTTACTGAATAAGAGATAGCACAGTAGATATTTACTCAGCTTTAGAATAATGTGTGAGTTTGTGTTATATCACAAAACATGTGTTGGTGGTGTTCTATCATTTACACGGGTGTCTGTAGTGTTGTCTTCCTGACAAAAGCCAAGCCATGCAAACTGAATGACGGGGCTCCCCCTCTGTCTTGCGGTGTGACAATAGCTATCACTAACCCCAATGGAACTCACATGTCAAAGGGAGGTGGAAACCTGCTGTATTTTCAAAGACTGATTTAGCAGTCACTTTACAGCCTAATCACTCTCTTTAGTTGTATGTACAACAGTATAGAAACATTTTCCATTATCTTATGCCAACTCTTCTAATCAGAAAACAATAACAAAGCTATTACTTCATATTAGGAAGAGAAGGAACTATGAAAAATGTCCATTCAGCAATACAAATCTTTTCATTCAAGGGCCCTCACTGAAACAGCAGAAGGAGGAAATTCCTGCTTTAGCCAGGGTGTAACAAAATGTGGCAGGAATAATAGGGTTTTGAGTAAATTGTGCTCTCAGTGGAAAAAAAGGAGGTCCTGAAATGACCAAAGATTATTTCCAGAGTTCTGGAAGAGGAAGGTTTAATGTATGTAGACAATACATTTTCTGCACTTATGGAGTAAGAATAAAAAAGCAGATGACACATTAAATATGGAATAGCAGGAGGAGAAGAGAATGAGGTGTTGTATTCATGTTATGGAAAGACAATTGTGAAAAAGGCAAGGGTATGAAGCAGTAAAAGAGGAATAAAATTAATGCATAGGTTCTGGATAAATAGAGAAAAATATTAGAAAATTGTAACTGAAGTTTCATCAAGATCCTTTAAAGAATTGTTACTCTATCCAGAGGATCATAGGGCTCATGAACATAACTGACCAGACAAGGGAATTGTTTTCTTTTCCATTCTCTGTGCTTTTCCTGAGCTTCACTGCGATTAGAATCTATTCTGCAAAGCTGCTGAAGTACAGGCCAATCCATAACCCAATTCTTTGTTTCCTATCATCATCGTTATCGACCAGCCACAGCCTCAGGGATTATGAGACAGACACCCTTTGGAGTATGGAATGCTGTTACAGGAGCCAGTGCCCTGACATCAGCTATGTTTGTAAACACGGCCGCTATGCTGACACGGGGTGCAGGACTGTATTGCTCTCTTCATTCTTAATCAGAGTTGCCTTCAAAGCACTTACCTAAAGCAATGTTAGCCATTAATATCTGTGTGAAACTTGTACAATATTGTCAAAAGCTGTATGATTGTATTTAATATCTCAGATTCGTTCTAACAGCAGAGCATAACTTGGTTATCTATATACATTGTTTGAGGACTCCCAGCTAATTGTTAATCTATAATTTAAATATAATGACTTTGATTTCAAATATTCTGCCTGCCAGTTCTTTCATTTAGTCTGGTGTACATCACATTTGAAGTGAAATATCTTTAGCAATAGTAACTAGGGAACACTGCTTGGGAAAGGTCAATGTTATACTATGTCAATGACATTTCAAATCAAATTAATGTTGTCAGATTGAAAGCAGCAACTCCACTGAATGGAAGGGCAGGATAGGGCAACAGAGGGAGACAGGGAGGGGAAGACATTTCTTTCAACAATAAATTGTACATCTCTGCTGTACTGTAATTACATGCAAAAAGAAAAAAAAAAAAAGGTTTGCTTATAGTACAGAACAGAGGGTTTGCTTGGTTGGATTTTTACTAGTTATAGGAAGACTTTCCTGGAACCAGGCAACTGTATGTTCTTCTTCCAGTTCTGTGTAAAACTCTAGCTATCTTCAGTGAAACACGGTGATTTGTCAGGTTCTTCTGTAATATGACCTGCATTCTGTTCTGCAAGATTTTACATTTTCCTAAACTAACAAACAGGGGTTTAGTTATTGAAATGAAAATGTCAAAGTTCAAAGAAGCTATTTCTTTGCAGAACACTAAGTGCTAGACCATAATTGCCTATAGATTTTCTTTATATTGCATTTAATTTTCTCATTTTACTTGACAAAGAAAGGAAGCGATACAGTTTCCATGGAGGTTATCATGTAGCACCACACCTCTATCAGATATGTATTTTTAGTTTATTTCTAACTTCAACTGTTCAGACGATGATTTGTTTTCATAGCAAGTAGTGAGTTCTTTAGGTGTGCAAAGTATTTCAACACACACTCTTCATTTTAAGTTATTACTGATGTTACTGACTTGAATTTTACATGTACCAAGAAATCAAAGTTAATTTACTCCACATCTCATACAAGTAGAGGATGGGGAGAACGCTGTGGGTTACAACTTCAATTTCCATACAACAGCACAGCCTTTTCCTGCTTGAAGTCCTCCTTATCTTTTTCATAATTTCCAAAAGCAATGATTTTGAAGCCCAATCCTTCACCCTTCTTTGAAACAAAATTCTCAATGAAATCGGTTGATGTACAGCTGTACTGCAGCGAGGCCTGGTGTATATTTTTTGAACAGGTGGCTTCACTCGGTAAGATAATCTTGCCCGCACTTCATGTGAAACAAGTGGCTCCTCCTGGCTCAGAGGGAGAAAGGGATCCTGTCCCTGTCTCCTCTATCTTCCAAGAACAAATCTGGCACTTTCTGCTAGGTTGTGGGTGGGAGTGTGAATATCAAACTTCCTCACAGAAAGAGACCTGCAATTGCTAACTGCAGAGTAAAACTGGTTATGAAAAAGGATTAACTACTTTCTTAGACACCCGCTGCATAGAAATTGAAGCGTTTATACAAAAATTGGAAGTGTTTACAAGGAGAAAAAAAGTGATTAACAAAGCACTCACTGCAAGTCCTTCTTTCATAACAACCAACTGATTTCTTTTGCTTTGAATTCGTGGTAGTGAAAAAAGCCAAATACATTTTCTGCCAATAGCTGCCTATTAAAAGAGAAGTAGCAGTTGCCCTTCAATTACAGGGTAGATAGCAATGGTAGTAACAAACAAAAATTACTTCAACCATTTCAGGTGGATTTACTCCCAGAAATGGCCTACACTGTATCTTCTACCTTTTTTTTTTTTCTTTTTTTTTTTTTACCTAAACTGATGCAAAATACAGAATAAAAAGCAGTTTAAAGGTTTGAGTTTACAGGATTCAGGCACTAATGCCAATGGAGCAAATACTAATAGACCCAAACTGGTGCTCAGATGTGTTTATGCTGAGAAGAGTTCCAAAACATTTTTCTCACTAATAATGTGGTGTGTGCACATCTTCCTTATAGTGGGATATAGGTTTAGAAATCAGTACCTATGTGCAAAGGCCACTAATTGTGCAAAGATAAACTTCTATGTTTATTAGCATGAACAAGTTTCTATTCAAGGAAATTATAACATCCATTTGTAAAACCACCCAGTAAGTTTACAAATGCAAAATCCAAGGAACTGTGTATTGGAATACATGAAGACAAATATGAAGTTTTACCATACATTTAATTCACTTGTCATTACAGCTTTGCTAATGCTATGGATGATAAGTTTTTAATTACCAAGTTGAATTTTAAAAGGATTATATCATCTTATGAAGAAGTCTTGTATTAAGAAGAAAAGAGAACATCTACAAAGGAACACCATGAATGTTAGAGCAGTTGTCACTATCATAAGCATTTTTTTCCTAGTGTTTCCATTATGAGCAAGCTAGTTGATTATATTCTCTCTTGCTTTATAACAGTTGCCAAATTTTACACCTGCAACTGTTTTACCTCTGATATTGCAAGGTTAAATATATTTAGCATTTTTGCTGTGAACAAAGTAAATGGATCTGTGTGCAATTAACACAATCTCTATACGTCTCTTACTAACTCCTATAACCTATGAGGAAGTAACCACCACTTTGTCACCAACAGAAGTCCTACGGGCTGCTGATTAATCTTCCTAGGTGGTTCTTTCTTTATAGGTATCTCTTGGTCCTTATTTTGAATTGCAGAGCAGTGCAACGCCCCGTAAAGTCCAATGATCAGGGTTCTGCACTGTTTTCAGATACAAAGAGAAAATGTATGTCAGGTCTGTTCTCCGAGGCTTTTTGTAGACAGGGCAGGAGTACACACTTCCTTGTTGCTTCTTTGGGTCATGTAGTGCTGTTGTGCTAACAGCATACACATGGACTACAGGAAGACTTGTGAACAGCACCTGAGAATGTTAAAAAGAGACATGGGGCTCCGCATTAGAGAAGTAGGATAGGGTGTCTGAACTCCAAATGCTAAAACTAGATTCCATTATAGCCTTCAGCAAAAGCACCACCACCTCAGCAGGGGTATACACAAGAACACAAGCCCTGTGCTCACTACTACATTGACCCTAACTTTAAGTCAGTGACAGCTCAGGGACAACAGACATCAGGAAGCCTGGAATGAAAAGAAAGCAGCAAAAACCTGGAAAACTGCATGCCGTGGAAGTAGATGGAAAAAGAACAGGGTGGTTCTAAGAGGGAGAGAGATCGCTGTCTTTTTTCCCATCCTTTGCCCCTTTGGCTAGTGTTCACCATTCTTTCCCCACCTCCTGTTCCCTGAATAGCAGGACTGGAGCTACGAAGGCCAAGCAGCATTTATCAAGCCCCCTTGTTATCTCTGCATTGATGGCAGTGGAATTTCAAAAGATCCAAAGTGCCTCTTGGGTGTTTGAACAGACTAGGTCCCCTCAGGTCTTTCAGCAATATATTCACTGGCAGGTGGAAAAAAAGACCCGAACCCAAGAGCAACATGAAAGCTTGCTGAACACTCCAGAGCACTTGAGTGAACTCCATGTTTGAAGGTGTCTTTTGACAAACCAGGCAACAGAAGCTACAGTTGGCAAGGTCTTGGTTTGGAAAAGTTTGCTCGCAGCCAGGCACAGAAGTGTTTTATACCTCAACTCCATTTCCAGGATGCTTATCACTGGTTTGGAAAAATATTACCAGTGCAGACAATGACAGCTTTTCCCAGGCAGTGACCACAGCATGCAATCACTACTTCACAGCTAGATTTTAAATCTGCTTAGTCACATCAGCAAAATGTAACTCCATGCACAGACAACTGAGCATAAGCCCAGAACTAATATTCTTCCTCCTATTCAAAAACAAATGCCAGGGATTTCTAGCCGTGCAAACACTGACTCCCACAGCAGCTGTCATCAAACACAGTCCTGGGCTTTGGAAGTTGTGATAGGGTCCCACTCAGTCAAAAGAAGGCTGAATATGGGTTGCACTATTTTATTCAAACATGCTTTGCTTCTAGGGCCCCTGAAGGCAAAGAGTTTGTCATCTGGTCTGCTCTAGTGCAGCGCATCCTAAATTCACTTTCTAACAGAAGTCTTTTGTTTGGTTCTGGTGGGTAAACACTCTGTCCTCTTCCCAGCCCTGCTAGTGTTTTCTCCTCTTAAAACCTGTTCTGAAACCACTGCTGCAGGCACTCAAAATACTTTCTGGTGTTCTCTGAGCATAGCATATTATGCCACAGTCAGTCATGCTCACTTGATCCTTACCTTTGGTGCCGACTCAACCAGCTTACTGTTTCTGCGGTCCCAACCTGCCCCTTCAAGGAAAAGGCCATATATGTAAACCCCACCAATGTCAGCAGGAGGAGGGCCAACAACGTCTTCTTTCATCATCTTGGTCACTTCATTGTGTAAAACAACACTGTCGAGTGCCCACCCTTTTGCTAAATTCATGTGAGTTGTCTCTTGCCTCATAGCAGTTAGGAATCCCTAAGGAGATTGAATATGACATAGGGTATTTTAAAATCCTTGAACTCACCCATTCCAAACTTTTTCCCCCCCATATAATAGTGATATCAGCAGTATAAAACCTCATCCCACAGAATTTTATCTGCATACAAAACTGAATTCAGTTGAGTAAATCCAGTACTTTCCTACATTTTCCTAGCACTATGCATTCTTATATACCTGGTGTGCATGTGTTGGTGCTAAGAAGCCACCAGACTGGCTTCTTTAACATATCAGAAGCTGCATGTATAACTCACCTCCCCTCACATGTCTACTTTGAAACCAGCCAGATGGAGAGAGGTTTATAAGGCTGCCAGTGGTTTTTGAGGTTCCAAATAAAGGTAATTGCTAAGCCACAAACAACAATGGTATTTTGTGTGCTATATTATTCACCTTTTCTTATGCCAGCATTGTAAAATTGCTTTTCAGTTAACAAATCATGAAGCATTTTACAGAATACAAAGGAAGTACAAACTGGAATAATGTAATTAAATAGTGAAATGCCTCTGTCACTTTGCTCAGTGCAAAGCCTTAATATACAACAATAACATACTATTGTAGGCACCAGTCAGATAAACTTAAAGCACTTCAGCAGCACAGAATGAAACTCAATCTCCTGAAGAGCTACAATCTCATGTTATAGTTAACAAGCTCTCACAAGACAAGCCAGGCTG